CAAAACAACCCATGAAAGCCCAACTGAGATCAGTTCAGGCTACCACTGAGTCCTGGCAAAGCCCTGGTGTGCAGGCACCTGGGACCAGAGCCACACCGGCACAGATCTGTGACAGGCATGGGACCCCCTGGGGACACCAAGCTGGTCCCAAGGGCAAGCGAATGCTCAGGGCGGGCTAGCTCTCACACCCTAAAAGGGCCTGGGTCACTGTAGGATGAGAAGCACAGCTTGGACAATCTTCCCAACATGCTGCAGGAGCAAACTGTGAGAGAGACTTCTCCAAACTGAGCCCTTGCCCATTCTGAGGTCTGCCAATTGACTTCCCACTGGGTGTTTAAGTGGACCAAGCAACACAGATGTTATCCAACAGCCACATGACAAGGCGCCTTTGAGGCATCTTCCTTTTTGCTAACAAATAACCATGCAGGGCAAGACCCAGCAACAAACCTTCCCCTGGAGCATCTTCCCTTCTCCTCCCCCCCCTTCCAGAGGGTGAGGAAGGCAGAAGAAACAGGGGGACCCCTCCAATAAGCCAGCAGCATTTGCCAGGCCCTAGCATCAAGGGGAGGAATAGCGAGGGATTAGAGGGGAGCAGCCTGCCAGGCACCGCCGGGCTAAGCTGCCGGCGCTCATCTGGTATGATATGCCGTGCAGACCCTGGCGTGGTGGCGCCGGCCGCAGGTACGAGAGAGGGAGAGGAGCATGGCAGGAACAAGGCTGCTCGGTGGCTTGGCTTCACTGCACTGCTCTAAGGACGGTCCTCAGCATCAGAGGAGAGAGAGAAGGGGACTCCCGGGCTCAGGGGAGATGCAGACCACTGCGCCTGGTTCCTCAGCTCTGGCAGTGGCAGCCCTGCAGCATGCTCCCACCTCTACCAAGCCACATGCACTGAAAGAGCCTCCTGCAGAGCAGGGAGGAAGGTTAAGACAGTGAACAAGAATTAAAAATATTTGTCTCACCAAGGGGGAATAAAGAGACCTGGATAGGAAAGGAGAAGGTAGAAGCCCTTACACCAACTTGCACTGACATTTGGGTAGGACCCTCGATTTGGAAGCCAACTTCATCTCCTTTCGATCATCCTGGTCCAGGCTAACGGTGCTGGGTTTGGGTCAGCGCTGCTTTACCCAGCAGGATGGGATGCGGGATGGGCAGGGCTGGGCTCCTCACTGGAGTCCACCTGCCTGGCAGGATATCTCTCTCAACGTCTTAAGTTGTCCCATGGCCCTGGTCCCGCACTTAAGTTCACCTCTGTCATGGTAAGCAGCATTCCCACAAACCGAAAGCGTTTGTATACACTTTGAGCTGCAAAGCCAGGCAACAGGGTAAAAGAAAGGCACCTGGGCATCTCACAGAGGACAGCAGTGCTGCTCCATCACAGGAGAAGCCTATTCCACTGTACCACGGATCAAACGTGGCACACTGGTGTGTGCTTGCTGGTGGCACAGCTGGCTCCCCACCATCCTCATTGGCCCTGCACTATGCCACAGGAAAATCTGCTGTCCTGGGGTGGGCACTCTGCAATCCCAAGGCACTTTGCTACTTTATGTCCTGAGGGCCAGAGGGTCCTTCAGATGGTCAAAATCAGAGAGAACCGCCTCTCTGACATCAGGACGCCTGTCCGCCCAATTTGCAGCCCAGTGTTCGTCTAAACAGTGTTATATCATTATTGCTGTACAAGGCAAAAAGCAGTGCCTCCTTCCAGAAGACCATGGCCAAGAGCTATTATGGCCAAGTACCTTCCTTCCCCAGAGATGCTGAACACGCGTGGCAAACTCCTGGCACTAAACTGCTTCCCGCTTAGTTAAACTGGAAAGATTTGCCAGACCGCAAAAAAGGAACAGAATTAGTAGACAAACACACACACGGATGCTCTTGTCCTTTGGAAGGAGACAATCCGGCATGAGGGGCTTCACAGCAGAGACACCCAACCCAGTACTTGGCAGGTCACTCTTGGGAAATGTTTGTTTAGATAAATAACGATGTTTAACAAAGACAATGTTTGATGGTCTCTAAACTACTCCAAAGATTAAAGAACAAAACACTGAATGGCCTTAAGTCCTCTGATTTCTATCACCTAACCGCAGGCCTAAAGTCATGCTTCCAAATGAGCAGAAAGGGAGCAGGGACAGTTTCAGTTTAGGCCATATAAAATATAAAATCTGCATGCATGAAGGAAAAACATGTCTTTTTAAAAATCAAAGACCTCCTGGCAGTATCTCCCCAAACCAGTGTTCAAAATTCCACTGTTCAGATAAAAGCACACTCAGATGCTTCTTGCATGCAGTATCTCGACCATCTCCAACAGCTAAACAGCAGGTCTGCTCCCACGGCACAGCTCAGTCAATCCACCCTGACCTGTGCAGATTGGCCACTGAATGGAAACGCAGGTACGTGTTTAAGGAGAGCTGTGAAGCCTGCTCTGCATTTCAAAGAATTTATCATGTGGCCAGAAGATGAGTGGGAGCCCAAAACAGAATGAGAGAAGCTCCCAAAGATTTTACCAGTGACCAAGATCTAGAACCCACCTGTGCTTTAGTCACTTATGCCAATACCAATTTCCCCATACACAAGCCATGCATAAAATCAAGATGCTGAAAAAAATTAAAAAATAATTAACTTTCAAATAGCCAGGAGAAGGAGACATACAACAAATTATTTAAGAAGGGGGCTGGAGAAACAGCAGCTGGCATAAACCTGCTGGGTGAATTGATGCCAGTGATCATTCTCACCACCTCAGACCTGCTCCAGGAAGACATGCTGCGTAGGTGTTTCTCCTCACAAGGCATTGCAGCACACTCTAGTTTCTGCCCTTGCTTTTCCTTGGTCTTCTTTCATGGAGTGCTCAAGCAGGGACACACTTGAGCGAGGGAGAGGCCAGCTCTTCCTTCCTCCCCGGTCAATAGGAGGGTTTGCACTGCCTGTTTCTGAGCTGCCTCCTGACGGCTCTAGGACAGGCTGGCTGCTTTCAATAAACACAAGAAGACCCCAAACCACTTGCATTTTCCGATCCAATCTCGCACAGAACCTGTCAGCATTCAGCAGCTAAAACAGCCTTCTTGGGATCCCCTTTCACATACCCAAGGATGCTGAGTGGGAGCTGGAGCAGGTGAGCTCACCCAGCTCAGCAGTGAGCAGGCAGGCAGGCAGACCTGGCTGCCCCTCCTAACCCTGCTCCCTGACAGACCAACAGAAAAAAAAACCTAAACATGCAGATGACCAAAAAAAGGAAAAGGAAAAAGAAAAAAAAAAAAAAAAAAAAAAGGGGGGAAAGGAATAAGCAGGGTATTTTGAACAGCAGCTGTCCAAAGTTGAACTTCATCTCAGCTCCAGCACAGCTTGTCAGAGAGCAACATCACCCTAGCATTCACACTGAAAGGGACTAAAGTCACTTAAAATGATTTCATTTTGTAGATGGGCTTGCCCAGAGCTCCTTTTAGAGATTTTTTTTTTTTTTAAAGCTGCAGAAGAGACTCAAGGAAGGTCTGCAATCACTATTTGCATCTAAAAGGATGAGGCTTTCCTCCTTCCCTCCCACACCTGAATTACTGTGACCTGCCTTAAACCAGACAGAGGTGGGTGCCATCCCATGGCTTCAGACACACGCACTCTGTGATTGGGAAGTTGGCATCATGAAATCAAACCAGATGGAATGACAGAAAAAAAGAAAAAAATGAAGGAGAATCTCAGAATGGGATTTCCCAGTTTCTCGCAATGCAAAACCAAAGTAACCCACTGCGCGGGGGATGCGGGAATGTCGGACCCCAGGAGGCACAGCCCTAGCAGGATGCTCGCAGGGCAGGGGGACCACCACCCCCAGTCATCCTGTGCTCACTGTTCCCCAGCTGAGCTTGGGCGGCATCCCGGCACAATCACCCTGGAAAGGATGACAAGCCCCAAAGCAACTCCTCATGTGACGCTTTGCAACAAGACCAGCCACTTCAAAACTGACATTTTAAGGAATCACTACCACCCTTCCAGTTTTACAAATTCTTTAAGCAGAAAACTTTAAATTATTAACGTTTCAGGGGAAGAGTGAGGCCCGCACTGCGCTGTGGACTTCCACCCCACACAAGAACAAGCATGCTTCAGAAACACCAGCAGCACGCTGGTCCTCCTCTGCTTCAGAGCACCATCACAGACGATGGGTTTCAGGCAACACATTCAGCGTCGCAAAGGCTGATGCAGCAGAGCTCCTTACCAGGGCAAAAACACTGTCGAAAACACAGCTGATACAGTCAAACAAATTGACCTGATGCTACAAGGCAAACAACTCCTCTCCGAGGCCATTCATTTTTCATTTTACCCGCTTGCCAATCCCACAAGCAGGGTTTAAAAGAGAATGGAAAAGGGAAAAAAAAAAAAAAGGGGGGGGGCATTCAATACATTCAATGATTTGGAGTTAAAAAGAAAAATTATGGTGTTTCTGACGGCATATGCAGCATTCTCAAGCCACTGCTATTTTACCAGGAAAATCCAGGGCTGCCTAAATACCCTCCTGTGGGCTCCTATTAATTACAACAATTATAGCCCAGTAGAATACAGACATGCCTTTAACACGGTCTATTTTAAAAGGTTCCCAAATAAACTGTAACCACACCACAGGTAATTATCATTCATTGTCAGCACACTGAGTATTTCATCAGTCTATTATAACAGGGGAAAAAAAGTCACTTGCATTGTGAAACTTTCCAGCTGGGCTGCACAATACGCTGGTACCCTCGCAGCTCTGCTTGCCAAAGCCTCAGCCCGGGATCACGCTGAAACCCTCCAGCCTAAACCTCAATTTTCTACTTCAGCGGAACCCACAAACAAAATCAACTTCATCTGTCCAGATCCCACCAATTCCAAACGAGTGCGAGCTCTGCTTTTGCCGAGGCGCGATGCATCCTGAAGCCTCGAAGCTTGAGATTGCAAAGCAAGAAGATCCGGTGTTAGAACGGGAAAAAAAAGCACTTCTAGGGGAAGAAAAGGGGGATGCTCCCGGCGGCGGCGCCCCTTACCGCTGAAGAAGCTCTTGGCGCGGAGGTAGCCGGCGCTGAGGCGCAGGACCGACAGCTTGTCCAGCCCGGCCACCACCTCCTCGGGGAAGGGCAGCAGCGCGGCCAGCCGCTCCCGCTCCCGGGTCAGCCCGCCCCCGGGCCCCCTTGGGG